CCATTTCTGGTGGTGGTGGTAAGCTTCCATCAATGAAACTGATTTTATTCTTTGACAAAAGTGCCATAGATATAGCTCTAGACCATATGTGATAATTCTTTCCACCAAGTGGTGTTGAAACTAAGGCTTGTGACGTATTTTTGTTGGGATGAAGGTAATACGAGTGTGATGAATTGGTAAGAAAATCAAAAGGTAGACTTTGATTCGCCATTGATAAAATTCTTCAGAAAACGATGAAGAACAAGTAAGAAAAGAAGGGCTGAGAATCAGAGCTTCTTGAGAAGCTCTGATACCATCTTATGATGGAAAACACTGTATATTCTCATATCAGAAAATTCTAAAAGATTCAAGGTCTTACATCAACTATATATACAATGTGTAAATATAGATACACTTAAGCTATGCACTAAGAACACTAACAGAAAGCTATAACTTAACTACATGATTTATGGAACTGATAAAACTGATTTCAACATATCAGTTATTATCCACTTTAACTTTCATCTTCTCCACGCCAGCTTCTCTAACTTCCATATTCTCCATTTCAGCTTCTCTATTATGCAACAACAGTAACATTATTAAGTGGTATTGCCACGAGCCCACGATTCTGCAGCCTCATTATCCAGCGAGCACGAACTTGTTCCGTGTTAATATATAATTATATATCTGCGCTCTGGTGTTAAAGAACAAGTTTATCTATCTATTAACACTTTCATCTTGAAGGAAAAATATATATCAAGATATCGGGAGTACATTTATTATTATTATATTTTATTAAATAGCCACGTTATATATTGTATGTAAGAGGATGTTATCATTAAATTGAAAACTTTTGTGACGAATCCTCCGCCCTCAAGATGCGGATGAAGATGATATTTTAAAGAGGACAATATATATTTGTAGAGTTATTTGGTTTCATTGCAATCTGCGACCCCAACTGGAGCATTCAAAACCTAAAAAATTGGCTATGTTTGATTGTGTTTTAGTTTTTGTTTGAAAACTATTTTATAAAATAATTCATACAAACTAATTTTCTGAACAAAAGAATAAAAAATGTTTGTTTAGTAAATTTATTTTGAAAAGAGTTCTAAAAATTCAAAGAATTCATGCAATTGATACACTGTTTATAAAATAAAATAAATTTAAAAGTAATAGAAAATGGGAGAAAAATTATGAGCTTACTATATTATTCATGTTTATGTTTTTTTAATATCAAATATAATATAATGACATAAATTGATATTGCATGCAAGAAACATAAAATTTACATTCACAAGACATGAAATTTGCATGAATGGGTCATTCTCTTCGACATTGCATTTTCTATATTGTGAAAACTATTGTACATTGCTTTTTTTTATAAACACTTTTTTCTTTTGTTGTGTTGTGTGCGTAAGAATTAGGACAGTTTGAAAGAGCATAGAATAATGTCTTTGGCGCCAGTTGAATTACTGGATGCATGTAGATCGAAAGAGTTACAAAGCTGCTAAAATCCAGAGTGCGAAAGAATTATAGAACATAAAAGATATTCTATTTAACCCCTTAATTCATATGAATTTGTCATCGATACATTAACGTTTAACTTTTTTTTTTTGTTACACTTAGGCCTCCCAGGGGTGTTTAAGCGTTATGCAGTATTCCTACTTGTTGGTGCGATGCCGACATTCTTGAACATGAAAAAGGAGTAATTTGGTACATGCTGGATATATAGAACAAGAAGCACACGACAATTTTTTTATTCTGAAACCATCTTTTAACACAGGTCGCTTTTACTTTTCCAGTTGGAAAGAAAGCATATATAACAACCATAGTAGATATAGAGGTGGACTGGCCTTCAGTTTTGATTATTTTATTTATTATATATAATGATGTTGTCTAATATCTCTGAAAAATATCTATAATAGTTCATTCATTTTATTATTCTTAATGATTTTATAATTGTATCCATCATATTATGGATATTGTCTAAGTTAGTTGAGATATGTGTAATGTGAAAAAAAATGAGCAACATATATATATATATTTTTTTTTGTAAATAGCAACATATAATTTGAAAAGAGAGACAAAGTGATAATTTTTTTTAAAATAAAGAGCAAAAGGGTTAATAAACATAATTTTTATTATCATAAGATTTTTATATTTATCCTACAAAATAATTTATGTTCATCTTTTATTCATTGCAACCCACATAAAATTTAAATGATAATAAAATAATATGTTGTGAAAAGTATGCTAAAGAAATAATGTTAACATTCATTTTTCTGTTACATAAATAGAAGTGAGAAGAAAAAAGAAAAAAATGAAAATTAATTCTCTTCTAAGAGTTTCAAAATAAATAAGAGAAAATTTTTATCAAAAAAATAAAAATAATAGGAGGAAAACAGGGACAAATTCCAAAAATAAATTCTGAAGTGTCGTATATGACACTCTGACACGTTCCGACATTTATAATATTTAAAATTGAGAAAAAGACTTCTCATATTGCATGAGAAGTCTCTGTCTCCTCTCCTACCATTCTCACTTCGATGTCCGTGCCAACCATTTTTTTTTCTTTAAGATGGACCCTACCTCTTTCTCTCTCAGTAAGAAAATTTGAATTTCTCATGCAACATAAGAAATTGCAAGCCTTTTAAAATTTCATTACATATCACAAAAAATTTATCGATGTTTTACCAAATTAATGTATAGGAAATTTTCAATTTGAAAATATATACAATTTCTTGATATGTATCTTCAATCTTTGAAAACTTAAAAAGTTCTTATGTTAAACCTCGATCAAACCCTGACCAATGTGAGCAAAACTCAGATTAGAATATGGTATGTGGGTTCTGTTTATTTGAACTATTTATCTTATGTTTCTTTGCGAAATTGATAAGTATTATATGTTAAATTATTAAATATTTAATATAATATACTACGAAAATTAAAGTTTCACATAAAACAAAAAAAATTAATTTTCAAAAAAATAAAAATGAAAAATGTGTTAAATTATTTTATTTATAATTGGTAATTATGAACTTTGATCTAGTGTATTCGCTTCTAAAATAAGGAAATTCCCCGCTCAAATCGGAAGTAGGGACGGAAGTAGGAATGAAACTAATCACCACGAAGATTGAAAACACATAAAAATTCTGGAGAAAAATACTAAAAAGAAAATTTTATTTTTCCCATTTTACCTATGTGTTTTTTATATTTTTTTTATGTCCTAAAAAATTTCAAGGAAACATCAAGTCCGATGCTCACGGATCATCGAAATTTTTCTCCAAAATCCCTGCCCATGCCCTCGAAGCATTGCCAATTTTCTCCGCAAACGAGGAAGAAATGACTTTTACTCGATAATCTGCCTTTAAAAACACAATTCACTTTTGTGGTAAGCAGAGGCGGACCCAGTAGGGGGCTAGGGTGGGCCCCCGCCTCCTCTAAAATTTTAGATTTTTTTTATAATATATGTAGAAAAATATGATAATGAAATTACCGTGTTTTACATGTTTTTTTCTTTAGGGGGAGTTCGGTAGAGAAAAAATATTTTTTATCCGGGAATCACGATTTCCAGGAATATGATAGGAAGATGAGTTTTCTGAAAATGTTAGCAAAAAAGTATTTGGTAGACTAAAATATTCCCGGAAATATTGGGTTAATTTTCTTAATACTATATTTAGTTGTATTAAATTTTACCTTGCCATAGAAATTCTAGAATACCACCCCTAGATGGTATTTTCAAAAAAAATTACACACAAAATAAAATCCCAGAAAAATCAGATTTTTGGGAAAATTTTAAAAAACTTGTACCAAACATGGGTAAATATGATTACCACTATCAGTTTTTCAGAAATCCTAAAAAATGCCTTGTACCAAAGGGCCCCTCAATTCTCCATGTTTCTGCCCACACTCTTACCCATATTTTTCCTTGAGAATATCATATTATCCTCTCTTTCATTTCCGTATTTTGTCCATTACCAACCTCCTTCTTTAGCCTTACGATTTTGGCTGTGTATTAAAAAAAAAAAATCTAGAGCCAGGCACAATCAACTTCCACCTTCCTAAGATCTGTGCATGTATGTATAGTCATAGACTATCTTTGATTACATACATTAATAAAAAAATTATTTTGAATTTTAGCACGAATTCAATTATATATGAGTTTAATAAAATGAAAACACGTAGAGCAAGAGTAAGTGAAGTGATATTAATTTCTGCAATAGATTTTTTTTCAATTTTTTGTATATTAAATTTGTATTGTATTTCAAGTACTTTTATGTAAGATATAGTATTTTTTATTTTCGCCCCTTCTTATTAAAATTCCTGCGTCCGCCACTGTAATCCTAACCAAACAGGCTGTTAAATGACGAAGGTGGATACTAAAACAGCTCGATTTAACCAAATAATTAAATATCGAGGAAATACCATTTTTGGTCCCTAACAAAAAATACGGTCCCCACTTTAGTCCCTTACAAAAATAAACTAGTCAGTTAGTCCCTTACAAAGATAAATTAGTCAGTTTATCCCTTACAAATTCAAAGTGGAGCCATTTAGTTGAAATCGTGGTCTCTCACGAATTCAAAAAAAAACTCATATTAGTCCCTCAAAAGGACTAAAATGAGTCCACTTTGAATTTGTTAGGGACTAATTGACAAATTTATTTTTATAAGGAACTAAAGTGGGGACCGTGTTTTTTGTTAGGAACCAAAAAGGTATTTACTCTTAAATCTTTGTCTATTATTCATTTCATGAAAACGATGTGCGAGACACCTACACAAATAAGAAAAAAAATAAGAATAAAGATGTTTAAAACATAATACATAATAATGATAATATCCAGGTAAAGTAACATGTTTAAGTGTACTTAAAGATTGTTTTGTCATAACCTATTAGGCTGACTGAAACTACACCGCCAATAGATGAAAGAAAGCCTTTGTCGATTACATATTTTCTTCCTCTCTAAAGAGTAACTGAAAAAAAAAAAAAAAACAAACAAACGATCGCGAACTTAGGAGTGTTCTTCATTTATTTTTAGCAACCCTGTGATCTGCGGTCGCCATGGATGCTCCCATGCCACCAGGTACGCTACTTATAATATCGGGATTTTCATGTTGCACCTGCATGAATGCAATCGTATCCCGAATTAATTTTCGTCTTCTCAAATGAATTAATTCCAGCATATACATATACAGGGAAATAATGCATGTTAAGGAGCGTAACAAATTTAAATAATAACTAATGATTCATGCAGCACGTTCCGTACCGTTGAAACATTGGACTCTGTATTCTTATCTTCGTCGCTAGAAAGCCTAGCATTTAGAGTACTGGCAGCACCTTGGTTGCTTATGAAATCATAGTCTTCGCTTGCTCTAACTTTAGGAGCTCCCATAGAGTCAAGAACACCTTCATCCACCGTTGATCCGGTTGCATCGTCAGTTATAGTCCCCTTGGGCTCATCTGCACCGTCCACAAACTGCCCCACAACCTGTTCCAAAAAAAATAGATGCAATTGATCAAAATCTCAAGCAAAAAGGCCAAGGCAGTATAGTGTTTGAAGTCACCAATTAATTACCTGTCCACCAAGTGTCTCCGTGATGACACGGTTGTTTCCTACATTTGTTTCGGATATGGTAACGCCTTCGTTTCTGGCAAGGTTTGTGACGGCGTTGTGGCTGACAAGACCAGCTCTCTCGTTTTTTGCGGCGGCTGATTCCATCACTGCTGCAGGACCACCTCTTCGAGTCTGACCCAATACTTGGCTTTCCACAGATTGAATTGTAGCAGCGTCTCTTGGCGTGATGGGTTTGGATGCTAACTCGCCAGACACATTGAAAACCTCACCATACTTAATCGGTTCATGGTCAAGTCTACGTGGCTGCTCTTGGCTCATAATTCTTACTTTTTTAAGGTAAGAAATTTTGAGTAGCTAATTCAGCTTAATTATTATTCACCCTGGTTCATTCCTTTTACTTCTTGTGCAGTGCAAATGACGAATAATGGTTATATATATATATATATATGCGTATAGAAAGAGAATGGGGTTGGTGACACCGTGAGAGCTAGCCATGTTCACACGTGTCGGACAAGGACGTAGGATTTAGATGATCATGATCGGCACGTGTGTAGTTGCAAGCGGCGAGCGACACCGTTGAACCTGCATTTGAACCGCATGCATCAATTGCGACAGCTGGCGAGTACTTGGCAAGTTCTCAATCATATCATAACTCTGATTCAGACATGTTAGTTTTTACTTTTATTCAAATGCTTTATGCTTCTCCTTACACTTAATCACTTTTGAGAAGAGAGATATATAGAATAACAATACAAAGTAAGATTAATTTATTATTATGCGTATCAATACCAACGCTTTTTTATTGAAGACAAATTCTTTAAGCCTTCCCCTTAAGATTCTCACGAAATTTCATTCCAATGAGTCAAGTATTTCTTTTAAGTTGAGTCTTTGATCATCATTGTTTATGGGCACTTAAGGAAGGCCAGATTATGAGGGTGGACAGGTAGAATTATCTCCAGAAGAAGGAAAAACATTTTTTTTTTTTATAAACCATCAGTATCACATTGGAGGTAATTCTGTTCGAGTCAGGTTAAGGCTTTAAATTATGAGTTATGTCTATCTCATTTTATATGTGATAAATAACTCTTCTACACACATAAAAAAGAATTGTGTTTCACCACTCTTTTTTCTCTCTCTTCTTACATATGGAGTCCAGTTATACTTTTATTTTTACAACAATTTTTTCTTCACAATATAAGAAAAATATATCCCTTAAACTATTCCTTAAGATGATACTGGATATAGCATCAAACATATGTTCTTACCTCATCTCTGCTCAGTTCCAATGCGTCAACTTCAATTGAACTATATATATTTGGTGAAGAAGAATACTTTTTTATTCTCCCAATTCGGTGTAATGGTTTTCTGGGAATTATTAGTTTCAATTATAGTGATTGGAAATTTGGAATATAAAAACAGTGGTGGTCCGGTAATTCATGGAGATATATATATATATATATATATATATATATATATATATATATATATATATATATATATAGAGAGGTAGGATCCTTTGACACCGGTGTCAAATTTGAAATTTGACACCTCATTTGAGAGCCATTAGATCAAAAAGATCAATGGCTCTGATTTGTAAGCATGTGACACCGTTGATTTTTCTTGATCTAATGGCTCTTAGATGAGGTGTCAAATTTCAAATTTGACACCGGTGTCAAAGGATCCTTTGACACTATATATATATATATATATATAAAATTTGACACCTCATTGATTTGACACCTCATCTGACGAGACGTTAGATCAAAAAAATCAACGACTCTGATTTGTAAGCTTGTGACACCATTAATCTTTTTTTATCTAACGGCTCTCAGATGAGGTGTCAAATTTCAAATTTGACACCGGTGTCAAAGGATCTTGCCTATATATATATATATTGTTTTTTTTTTTAATTCAAGAAAAGTTTAAGTGGGTTTAGACACCGATTTCCCAGGGAAGACCCTCAACTTCTTTGAGGATTTTTGGAAGAAATTACATATCACCCACCTACAAAGTCCTCACATCAGCCCGTGGGATTTGAACCCACGCCTTTGAGGGGTATGGACCAAACCCTTAGCCAACTGTGCCCACCTTTGTAGGCAGATATGCATATATTTAAACAGAACGCACTTTTAAGTGACTTAAATAAATTATAAAAAATAATAGATAAAAAATTTAATTAAAAAAAAAAAACTAACATGATAAAAATTAACATGTTTAAATTGGATAAAAATAAAATCTTTAAACTTGGAGGGGTCGCGACTGGTTTTACAATGCCTTTACAGTGATTTTTTCCTACTCTCTTCAAATTCAAACAAATTCAATCCGCGAACTGTTCATTTTATTTATTTTGCTGGGCTTGGTTAAAATAAATTCGAGGGTTAACTCAAATATGAGTTACTTAAGGAATAAACTGTCTAAATAACAGGCTTCAAATCCTACTGAGAACCTTTGGATCAGAAATAAATAATTGTCACGTGACTGAATTCAGAATTAATCTCATACTTATGCGGGTTCCTTTTTCTATTCGGATTATGAGAATATTCGAGAATCTAACCCACCCACAAAAAATAATTGAGGTCAAGTAACTCTTTTTCGCTTTCCTTATCTTTTTTGATTGATTTTCTTTTTCATATAATTTTTTCTGAGAAATAAAACATTTTTTTCTTCTTCTTTTTTTGAAGTCAATTGAATTTTTTTATACCTCTTTTTATTTTTGAATTTATTTAATTCAAAGAAAAAATTGCCTCTTATTATCTGCGTTCGTGTGTAAGTAAAGATTAGACTGTCATTAGATTGTGATTTATTTTCTCAAGAGAAAAATATAAAATTTAATTGCAAATGCCCATTAAAAGAAGAAATTTTTTAGTTATTTGCATTAACCGAAATAGCCCGTTTCCCCTACAGGCCAAAGCAGGCCAGAATTTATTTAATCCACAAGTGAAAGAGTTATCCTGTAAAAACATGTTTAAAGAAAGATAAATTATACGTTTGATTTTACTTTTAGAAACATGTTTATGTTTATACTTTATTTACAAATTTTTTGTTTACAAACTACATTATGTTTGATCGATTATGAAGGACCTCCTATAGTCTACAAGGTTATGCCTAAATAGTTTTGATGATGTCAAAACATGAAGAACTCATTTGAAGATGCTAAAGTTTCGGGTTAGATAATTTTTAGATTTTTTGTAACACATTAGATATATCATTAAGCATGATTCCAAGCTCCATTGCATATCATTGCATAACATGTATTTAGTTATGTTGAGTGACCTAATAAAAAAATTAATTAAAAATTAAATAAACAGGTTTTTAAAAATAAAATCCAAATCAATTAAAAATCTGTTTTAAGAATAAAAAAGAAAAGAAGAGAAAAAGTATATGAATATATTTTTTACGTTGATTAATATATATGGATATATATTTTGACGTTCTTTTCAAAATTGGTTTTACGTTGTTTGATATATGCATATATATATATAACAGAAACCCAAAGGATTCAACTTATATCTAAAGGCTATATATATATATATATATATATGTATATATGAAACGAAAAACTACAGCATCCTCTTAAAAAATTTGTTACGCTGATTGGTTTTTATACATATATACAAACTTTTGCTTTTAATAAATAAAATATTGTTTAAACCAATTGTTTTGTCCAACGCACGTACACAGAGATTCATCTTTGTTTAAAAGGCTAAAAGCTATAGTATACTAAGTTAGTTAGATTTTAAATAATAATAATAAAAAAAAGCAATTGCACTTTCCTCTAGACAAAAGCGTAGTCAGAATCCTTTTGTATATAATACTAAAAGAGAGAGAGAAACTTTTACAATTACATACAGCTTTCAAATGTTCACAGTACCTTTCTTCTTCACTTTACGCTCTCAAAAAATAAAACGCGATCTCATTTTTCTCTCAGTAATCAACTTTGTTCTTCAGAAGTTTGCAAGAAAATTCTCAAAGCTCTCACGTTCTCTACTCTTTGATAAGTTCTCAACCATTTGGAAGCATTTATTTCAAGTTTCTTGGAACTAAGGTTGAAGAACCCTAACCTCATTTTCTGTTTTACTTTGCTCAAAATTTGAGATCTGTTGAGACTGACAGTTACACTAATTCTATTATAATTGCTGCGTTTATACTCTATAATTGCTAAGGTACGCTTTATGTTACTACATTGTTCTTAGCATTGCGAAAAACTATTTTGGGCATATAGGGATTGAAGGAAAATTGTGTAATTGTTTACTGAATTCAAAAAGATTTTGAAAAAGTTGAGAACACTTATTCACCCCCCTCTAGGTGTTCCGTAAGCGTCCTGTGTAAGAAGCCACTTGCCCAACAAGTGGTATCAGAGCTACGTGCTCTGAGTGATTGGCTATCTGCCAAAGAGTTAAAGATCCTATGGCTTCTTTCCATCAGGATATTCCTCTTGAGGGTGGTTCAACCAACCGTCCTCCGTTTTTCAATGGATTGATTTTCCTTATTGGAAAACTCGGATGCAGATTTTCCTTGAGTCAGTAGATCTTAAAATTTGGTATAGTGTAGAGGAAGGATATCAGCCTCCAACCACACTAGATGACAATGGAAAAACTGTGCCTAAAAAACACACAGATTTTACTAGAGATGAATTAGAGAAAGCCCAATACAACTCAAAAGCAAAGAACTTAATAGTTAATGCACTTGGCAAAGACGAATACTACCGAGTATCTTCATGTAAGACCGCACGTGAGATGTGGCTTCTTTTAGAAACAACTCATGAAGGTACTAGTGAAGTAAAGCGTTCTAAACAAAATGCATTATCTAGAGAGTTTGAGCTCTTTGAGATGCATGAGGGTGAATCTATATTTGACATGCAAAAACGTTTTATGCATATAGTTACTTCAATGAATGCTTTAAATATTTTCCATGATGATGAACTGTTAGTTAACAAAATTCTGAGATGTCTTACTAAGGAATGGGATGCAAAGACTTCGGCAATCTATGAAGCTAAAGACCTCTCTACAATGTCAATAGCTACCTTATTTGGAAAGCTTCAAGAATATGAGTTGGAGTTAAACAGAAGGGCTAACCGTGAGCTTAACAAGAAGAAACAAAAGGGATTAGCTCTCAAGGTATCATCATCCCATTCAAAGGAAAGTAAGGAAAGTACTGATACATCATCAAGTGATTCAAGCTCCGGTGAAGACGACGAAATGACAATGTTTGTGAAAAAGTTTAACAAGTCATTCACCAAATTCTTCAACAAGAAGTTCAGCAAAAGAAGAAGAAGAGATGTTGGCCAAAGAAGAAAAGACAACAATTCAAGCAATGCA